TAAGTCATACACATGATAAATATTATATTTATGACGAAAGCACGAAAATTAAACTTAAATTAACACTAAGTGAAACTCAAAAACACTATTTCAATGATAATATTATCTAAAAACAGTTAAAAATCACAAATACAAAATCCGCCGAAAACAAACACATGTAAATAAACAAACATCCTATTTATAGGTGACAAATGACAGGCGCGCGAAAATTAATTTGAATCGCGAATAAGCCATAGAAAAGGTATAGCGTTCAACATTAGTGGTCAAATACTACTTCGATTCAGGCTGCACTTTTTTTTTCTTACCCTTCTCTTTTAATTCTCGTGTATCTTTTTTTACTTCAATTCTACAGCATTCTACTTTACTCTCCATAATATCTGATAGTATACCTCCAATTTTAACTATTCTCGTAAATACAGCTTTTATCGATATTTCGAACGGTAACAAATAAATTGAAAATACCTTACTAGAAGTAGACATTCTTTTCATTCTTATTTTGCTGCCAAGAAGGAGAATTTAATGTGGTCAAAAATAATAAAATTCCTCCCCTTTTTTTCCCATGAATAATGAACGACTGGCGGTAATTGAGGTGCCTGTCGCGAACAATATTTCATTCGAAACTATATTCAAGTTTCGGGGAACGCCATCGTCATGGCTGATAAAGAAAAATGATTCGGCTTGTTTGTTCCGGTGCCGAATTTGTCGTTTATCTCTTTCGTCGTCCAAAACTCTACGAAAAACTCGGGAGTTGTCACCTCACGAAGATATGTTTATTTGCGACACGCTGTGTTAGCAGCGTTGCTTGTCTGCAACTTTAATTTTATTGTCGGCAACTTTCTTTTAGCACGGGCTAATGGGATTGTGGAGAAAGATGGGCCGTTCTGATAACTTCTGCTGAGTTATGTGTTGAGTTTGAATTTCGGGAAATAGTTGTTGTTAGATTGGAAAACGTGTTCATAGCAGTAATAGGTTTGATACAATATATATTTTCCTTGAGGTACCTAAAAATGTCGGGAAATTATTTTATAGTATTAAAGCTGGTTTTTTAATATGTTCAAATATATGACATTATAATCGCCTGAGACTTTTCACGGAGGGTTACATCTGCCAGATACCTTCAAAAATGTCTTCACTTTTTGTTAATTTCTCAGAAAATTTTATTCTTGATAAAAGTTAGTAGATGACTAAATACTATAAATAATACATGTTTAAAAGATTGAACCATATACAAGGGAGGTAAAAAAATATGAATTTAGCACAAAAGAAAAGAGCCCTTATTTTTAAAAATAGATAAAAACGTTACTTGAAAAACTTGTTTAAAATTAATATTTATCACCAAATATTAACAACCTGACAAATTCGACGATTCTAACAGTAAAAGGCAAAGCGTGACAACAAGCGAATTGCACTAGTCAGAGCATTAGTTGTGATTATTTATTTTTTTTTGTGAAAAAACACTCCAAAAGGGGCCTTTATTGATATTACAATCTGATCAAGAGTTGTTCAATGAGTAATTTTGTTATGACCTAACTTAACTAGGGTTGCAATCTGATAGGATATTTTTGTATACAGTGTGACAAAAAACATCTTTACCTTATAGAACATTTTTTGATTGTTCATTTCTCAGAAAATTTTATTCTTTATAAAAGTTAGTACCTTAAACCTGCTACAAACTTCATTCATATTAAAAAAAATTAAGTCATATGATACGAGAAAGGTAAAAAATATGAATTTAGCGTAAGAGCAAAGAACCCTTATTTTTAAAAAGGGAAAAATGTTACTTAAAATACTGGTTTAAAATTATTATTTATCAGCAAATATGAAAAATCGCAACCACCATCCAGTAAACTATGGTTTTTGAATTCTAACAAAAAATCTTTACTCTTAAGCCAAATTAAATATGAAAAAAAAAATAATTTGGCTTAAGATAATAATTCTAAACAAGTTTTTTAAGTAAAATCTTTCTGGTTTTAAAAATAAGGGACTTCTACTCTTTAGCTAAATTCTATTTTTTTTACCTCCCTCGTATATGATTCAAATAGTATAATATGTATTTGTTGTGGGTTTTAGGCCATGTACTAACTTTTATCAAGATTAAACTTTTCTGAAAAATTAACATTAAATAAGTTTTCTATGAAGTACTATAAATATGTTGATTGGAGATTATATCATAACAGTTGAACATCTTAAAAAATCAGCTTTCATACTATAACGTATTTTCCCGACATTTTTTGGTACCTTGAGGACCTGTTTTCCACCAAACCTGCCCGTAGTTAAGATTCATAACACCTAAACGTTATTGTCTACTATCATGTGCATAGACATAAAAAATCTTAACCTTCATAACGTAGGTCTGGCGGTGCGCTAGCTCTCTATCTATTGTTTATTATTACATTTGGAATATTACATTTTCTGAAATAATTCTATTTTAATGGTTTATGGGTTATTACTCCAAATGTTTATTAAAGTTAGGTTAAATAAAGGATGTCTTAGAGATTACGTTCATTTGTTAGCTCACTAAAACTATGTAGTATTCCCGTATATTCGCAGTGACAAACAATCAAATCACATTGAAAAATCATCCGTAATAAGCGCGGGTAATTTAAATAGTTAAAATAAGAACTAAATTTTTCTTCGCGTTCATGCAAATAAATTAAATAAAAATTTATATTGCTAAAGGGAAGATCAAATGAGGTATCAGATAATAGTTAATTCTGTTTAAAAAATGCAATGATCACGTCATCACATCAACACCGGTGACGTAATCGGTTTCATATGTAAGAAATTAAAAAAAAATCAAATTGTTTCAGTTTTTTGAAAAATTCGACAGTTTTAGAAAAATTAAGTTTGTTCCATAATAATTTAGCCGCTCACTGTACAATTTATTGACTAAACAGTACTTTTTTTGGTTGTGTCATTGTTTTTTAGTTTAATGGCCTCTGCCTTTTCAAGTAACTATAAAATATCCTCAATACTCAATCGGTTTGTTCATGCAAACGAAATTTTCTAAAGAAAAAACCGTTAAAATAAATCGTCTACTGATTTAAAGTTACAATTTTTAATAATTTTCAAAATTTCCCAGTTAACGTTAAATATGCCAAATTCTACTTCCTCTATCAAAGTCCGTCATATATTTAGATATACAGGGTGTTTTATCAAGAATGGGACTCAGAACAACTAAAGATTTTCGGATTAAAAATAAGACGATTAAACGAAATATGCTTAGATAAAATATTACTGGTTTCCGAAATACAGGGTGTTAAAGTTGAAAATTCAAAAATTATTTTTATTTCTCAGTATAACTTTGCTAAATTCGGTAAACATTGTTGGTTTCATAAGATACACCTATCAGTAAAACAATCCGTTAAATAAACTTTACCAGTGATGTACACCACGGATAAGTAACACTTTCATCCCCTCTAAATTTTACGCCATTGTCCAAAAACCTATTTGGACTATACGTTTACATTTTTTGTTGTTTTTTAAGTAAATTTTGTACTTTTGTTGGGAACTCATAAAGTGACTGGTTTTCGAGATATTCACTCTCAAAGGTAGATATTTTTCATTTTAATTTATTTTTTAATTTTGTAATTTTGATTTTTTTATAAAATTACTCTTAGCAAACGTTTTTGTTTTGGTGTCGTAAGTTACACCAATAAGCAAAAAATCAGTTAATTAAACTTTGCCAGTGGCGTACGGCATGGGTAAGTTAACACCTTCATTCCTTCTAAATTTTTCATGAACTTTAAGTAAATCATGTAACATTATTGTAAATTTTTAAAAAAATCCAAAATTAAAAAATAAATTAAAATGATGAATGTCCACCTTTGAGTAAGAATATCTCAAAAACCAATCACTTTATGATTTCCCAACAAGAGTAAATGATTTATTTAAAAAGCATAAAAAAATTAAAAGTATAGTCCAAATAAGTTTTGGGACAGTGGCGTAAAATTTAGAGGATGAAAGTGTTACTTATCAATGTTGTACACCACTGGTAAAATTTATTTTATTGATTTTTTGCTGATAGGTGTATCTTATGACACCAACACCGAATTTAGTAAAATTATACTGAGAAATAAAAAAAATTATAGCCATTAATAATTTGTGAATTTTCAATTTAAACACCATGTATTTCAGATCTATCTAAGCATGTTTCGTTTAGTCGACTTATTTTTCATCAGAAAATCTTCAGTTGTTCTGTGTCCCATTAATGAAACCCTGTATTATTATAGCTACTAAAGTGATATCGGTATTTAAATGCAATGAAAATTACTAAATTTTGCGATATGACTTTTGAAAGTCTTCGCTGTTTTTTTTGAAGTTGACTTTTTTTTGTCTAGAATAATTAAATTTTTACATATGCACTCATGCTAAGCAACTGCCTAAACCACCACAGATGGCAGTTTAAGTTACTCTACGATTTATACATTAAATATCGATATAACAACATTATTTGGTAAAATCCTTGGTTTTACATTTTTTATTTTTTCGACTATATGCTGAGCGTTAAAAAACAATCAGCCCAAAATTGTAAACACAATGGCAAATAAATGAATTGTTACCTGGTAAATTTCAATTTTATATGGAGAGGTCGAAAATTATCCTAATATTGATATTAAATGTCAACTACTTATGACAAACTTGGTACCAAAAAAGTTAAGGAATAGACCTTATCGCGTGTAGTAATATATATGTTTAATTTTTTCTTTGCCTTTGTTAAATTTTTGAAACTTAGCAGTAAAATACAACTATTTAGAAAATTTCAGAAACGTTTCCGAAAAAAAAAATTAGAACCCCTGGCAAAATAGCCGGTTAACTAAGTGAAAGCGGCCTTTTATTAAATTTCCTTTAAAGTAAGGCGATGGAACAAGATATAGCTCTAATTTATAAAGATTAATTTTATTGTAAAACCAATGCCAAATAAATACACATAAACCAACAAATATTTTATAATAATAACAATCTCGACATATCCAATAATTATAATCGTTTCTGTTTTTTCAGACTGTTTACACCTGCAGCTCTACAGAGACTCCAAAGACAGATACAAACAAGGCCAAACCAAAGCTTCCCTCTCTCTGGAGCACTTCCTCGGCTTAGAGAGTGGCTTTACTTTAGATAAGGAATCACATACCGTAGCTATTTTATGTCAAGATGTCGTTGTCGTACTAGCCTTTGACAACCGGGAAAGACTTATGCAATGGCAGGTGAGTATATAGTGGATAGGTCATTTATAAGTAAAAATTATGTTTTCCCAAAAGACCAACGTTTTAAGTTCGAAGCAATACTACAGAAATTTTGATTTTTAGAATTTTTGTGTCCGCGTTCCTAATTTTTCTCTTCTTCTACTTTTTTTCGTCCCTTTGTCTGCAGATATTTGCAATTTACATAAGCAGACAATTAAATTACGTGTTACTACCTTGACCTTTACAATTGTGATGTATTCGTTTCCTCTAAATATTAATCACTTTATGCTCCGATCTTCTTCATTTCACTCATTTTACTAGTTCTTCTTCAAATATATTTCGTAGAATTTCCATTTTCATGTTTGTGCCTTTCTCTTGTTGATGAATATCATTTAATTTTACTAATAAGTGCTTGCTAAAATTAATATTTTCAAGTTTTTCTTTATCGTTCTGCACTGCTTTGATAAACCTTCTTCTATTAGTAATCCATACGTTTCTGTTACTATATATAGTTCAGTAAATGCATTTTTATAATGTTCTCGCTAATTTTTACTATACTGTCATCACCATAAGTCATAATCTGTTGTTTGTGGTTAAATATTTTCGAAAATAAAGTTAACTAAAATCATCTATAGGGAGATAAGTACTTGTTTATTAAAAAAATTAACATTTTATTATCTTTTTGTTTTACGTAAAATTCAGTTAAACCACATTTAAGGAAAATATTAAAATTTAATTGACTTGAGTACTTGGGAATGAATACATAATATTTTATATTTCTTATTGATGCACTCTATCTTGTTATTTTGTGATAGTTTTGTATGCCACAAAATCCAGTATAGAGTAATACAGGCTAAAGCCAGTATACAGTGCTACAGGCAATTGAGACCTATCTCATCTTTCAGTCAATTTCTTGACTTTTGTTGCGGGATATTCAGAATTTTCCAAAAAAAATGTTTTCTCTTGTCATAAGGCTAGTCATTGAATGTGTCTTTGTCCTTTTTCCATCCTTACCGTGCTCTTATCACTCATTTGTAGACTTCTAATTGCTTGCCCCATATAAATAAATTATTTGATTAGAATGTCACTCGTTTTTCATTATTGCTTCCAAAGCTAGATTGAACATAAGGGAAAGTTCTTAAGATTTTTTCTCTAATCCTAGTATATATTTTTAAAGAACGCCAACATAATGTAGAAATATTTTAGTCATTGAAAATAGTCTGCCAAACTATATATTTTAATGATATTAATAATCGCTAACCCTTAAAACATATTTTCAGGTAAAACTAAGTTCGCACCTCAACGACGGTCCCCATTTCTTAGTCCTCGTGTCTTCCTCGCCGCCAAAATCGAGGCTGCCCCCGGGTCCGGCCAGACTTCACGTCCAAGAAAGGGGTTTCTGCCTAACGACGGGGGTTCCCCCAAGGGTGGCTGGTCAGTGGCTTATTAGTAATTTAAGAAGATATGGAGTGGTAGAAGGAAGGTTTTGTTTCGAAGGAGGGTCCAGATGTATAAAGGGAGAGGGATTATACGTACTACTTACCGATCAGGGAGAAGAAATCACGTCCACATTGAAGGCAGCTGCTGTAGGGAATCTTCATTCGTCTAGACGGAGACCTGTTTCTAGAAATATGTCAGGCAAGTATTAATTTTAATATATAATGCTCTCAGATATTGCGAACATTGCAAAAGTCCAATTAGTTATTGCTGTTTCTAAAGTTTTGTTTGTACCAATCCAGTAAAATTGGGTAAAGACGATCTACATAAGTCGAGTATGAATTCAGAAACTTTTAAAAAATTCGAAACATTTAAAAACTTTAAATCCTTAATTAAGATTTAAATTAAAACGTCTAATGCAAACTGTGTACCAGATATTAAAAGGGATATTTCATTGGAATTAAATAAACTATTGGCTTTTATAAATAGCAAAAATATAATCTAGAATTCCTAGCAGAATTCAATTAAATAGTTCAGCCTACGAAATGTGTCAATCTATCTAAAACCGATATAGTTTTAGCTTTAAAAAAAGTACAAAACAACTAATTTTTACAATTTTTAAATTAAGTGACCGCTCTTCTATAAATAATTTTTATAGATATAGTTATACTCCGCAACTTTGGAAACCTTTTTGAGATTAGGGTAAGGTTCGGACAAATCGAGTGGGGCAGCTTCGGATTGTCCGAATGTGCCCCATTTAAAAAATATAAATATACTGTTACCGGAAAGCTAAAAAAACATATTGATAGATTTTACTTTTTAGAATGGTGCGTAACTACATTAAAAAGCTCTTAAAGCCGTGCTTAATCGCCAAATGTTGTTTCGCGTGGCTGCAAGCACTTTTAATATGCCAAAGTCAACTCTTTTTGACCAACTTGTGAAAACAAAGCAAAAGAAAAATTTGACTGACTCGGGAAATGAAAGCAGTAGTTCAGATGAGAATGAATCTTCTTTATCAAAGTACGCTACCCGTCAAATATTCTCTCCAGGAGAAGAAAAGCAGTTGGAAATTTACCTAAAACAATCTGCAAAAATATTTTACAGGTCTACGCGACACTTGGCATATTAATATGCAAGTAAGTTGGGCAAGAAAATTCCAGATACTTGGAACGAAAATAATATGGCTGGGATGGAGTGGATGCAAACATTCATGAGCCTTCATCTGAGACTTTCCTACCACAAGCCAGAAAATACCAGCATTGCACGAGCAGCAGCTTTCAACAAAGCCAATGTTGCTTCGTTTTTTAAGAATTATGCAGAAGTTCAAGCAAAATATAATTTTTCCCCTAATCGCATTTGAAATATCGACGAAACTGGAGTCACAACCGTTCTTTAGGCTCCTAAAGTTATTGCCGAAACGGGGACAAAAGGAGTGGGCCAGTGCGTTTCAGCTGAAAGGGGCAAACAATTCCTCAATTCCTTCAGCATATATATTCCCTCGTGTACATATGAAAGAGCAGTTTATGTATGGTTCAGTTCCTGAGGCAATAGGCTTTGCCGAGAAGTCGGGGTGGATGTCTTCAAAAATTTTTCTCCAGTTATTGAAGCATATTTAAAAACATATTGGTAGTATTCAAGCAAATCCAATTCTTTTGTTGTTCGATAACCACGAAACACACACATCACTCGGGGCCATAGACTATTCTCGTTGCACCCACAAGATGCAACCCCTTGACAGGGGCATTTGCGGGCCATTTAAGAACAGATGTAAGGCTACCTTTAACGACTTTATCATTTCAAATCCGAAAACCAATTGGAATTTATGACATCGCTAAACTCACTGCAGATCCTTATTTGCAAAGTTTTACACCTAAAAACATTATAAGAAACTATTAATTTCATGATTTTTAATGATGACGATTTCATGGAGTCGTTCGCCACAAATCGGGCAGATCCTGAAATAAGAATGAAAGAGTGTGAACTGCCATCAACTTCTATTACATCAAACAACTCTTTTACTCCGTCCATCAGCATGAGCACTAGCAATGTGGCCGATTCTGAAATTGACGAAGTAACCATGTTGATAATAACTATGTTAGATGACATATTAAATCGCGTTGCAAAACAGAAAATTAAAATATTATCCGTCGACAACCTTAGACCATTACCAAAAGCAGCCTCCAGAAAAACACATGGAAAGTCTCGACTAGGTAAATCCAGAATTTATATAATTACACCGGAGAAACAAGAATTCAAGAATTGGAAACAATGAGAAAACAAAAGTTGGAGAAAAAAATCAAAAAAAAAGTATTACAAAGCGAATGTGAAGTGAAGAAAAAAAAAACAAAAGTTAAAGAGATGCAAAGGGAGGCACCAAAGAAAAAAATGAAAAAATAGAAAGTGACTCAGATTCTGATGTGGATTTACCACAAAATGTTGTTCATGAGACAATTTTTTTTGACGATCTGTCCGATTCTCTGGACGAGTTTCAAGACAATGACGATGTGCTCATGCTATTGGATGATGACGTAATCCATCGTAATGATTATTTCCTTTTCAAATACCCAACCAACAAAAGGACACTTTATTACATCAGCAGAGTGGAATCTTGCAATGATGATAAATATTTTGTCTTAAATTTTTTGAGAAAGTATAGATGCGGTTTCCGCTCTCGGGACTTGCAAGATATTTCGGCTATTTACAGAAAAGGTATAGTTTCGAAAATACATAATCCCGAGGCAGCACCAGGGACTTCCAGGATGTGTTCGCTCTTCAAATTTAATGTCAATTTTGATGGTTATAACGTTCAATAAACTTTTTCTAATATAGAGTCTTTTATTCCTCTTAAAAATAAATAAGTTCTGAATTGTGTTAGACTTGTCCGAATGTACCCCACTGCTTGTCCGAATCTGCCCCACTATGGAGCAGATTCGAACAAATGCATCTTTTTCGAAAAAATGTAAATGAACGGAAACCACTGCATTTTTTTGCTTGAGATAATGCCAAAATATTGGAAATACACTAAGGTAACCGTAGCACCTGAATTAGGTCCAAAATTTTCTCTTAACTTTGAAATATTAATGTTTGAATAAACGTGTCCGAATCTGCCCCACCTTACCCTACATTTTACGAAATAATGTAGAACTTTCAACACGTACGTCAAAAAGATCAACTTAATCTGACTTGGCCCGTATAACACAGTATATATTACTAGAAAGAGGATAATTCTCTGAGCGTAGTGGATTTTTTAGAAATAAATAAAAGTTCTTTGGTTATGTCGGCCACTAAAAGTTTTTATTTAAAAGCACTAACATGTTTGGGAAAACCAAATTTTTTCATTTTCTGGTGCAGTAAAATAAATAAATAAATAAACAAAAACGTTTAGTGACCGATATAAACAAATAACTTTTATTTATTTTTAAAAAAGTAATTACTCACTATCCCTTATGATCAAAGATCAAATATGTTGGTTTGTTATATTCACTAAATCCGCATCAGCTGGTGTGAGATGTAATAGATATATTTCAACATCAGAGGTTCCTCAAGGTCTTTTCCTTTTATAAATGATATGTAAGCTTTAAGTGTAATCCATAATTTGTACCTCGGTACAGATAAATTTATAAGTATATCATTTTAACATATTTTCGCTTTGATATTTGTTATAATATTCTGATTTTTCTAATTGTTGTTTTAAAATATATTTCATAAAACACACGACATGACCTTCTTGGTCGGTTCTGTACTTTTTTATAAATAAAAGTAGTTTCTTAAAGAAAAAGCATTTTACAAGACTTATTTCATCTTCATCTAGAAGTATGTACAAGAAAATATTAATGGTACAATATTCCTATTCTGCGTTACTTTTCAGAAAGTGACTGTTTAATAAAAATCTTGAAAAAATTCTTGCAAAATTATTTTACCCAATAACATGTCAGCCAGTGTTGGCGTTGTTTTAACTGCTAATGGTAATTAACAGAATGTGGTATGTAAATTAACTTTCAGTCACAGAATATGATTTCCATAACATTACATATTTATCACAGTAACAGAATGTTAAATTTTAAAAAAATCATTGCGGAATAGAACCATAAATCACCAATTGCACACCAATTGATAATACTGTTAAAGATTCTTTAGAATACCAAAATTATAACAATATATTAACATTACCCAAGTAACGGAAGCTGAAGTACTAACTGTTCTGAAAAAATTGAAACCTAAGCCAACAAGTGTATCGGATAATGTTCCGGCATTTCTGGTGAGAGACTGTGCACAGGTATTTTGCAAACCTCTTACTATTATTTTTAACCCTATTTTTAAAACTCAACAATTTCCTGAAATGTGGAAGTTAGCTAGAGTTAGTCCAATCTTTAAAAATGGCAGCAAAAATTATATATTCAACTATCGCCCTGTCACAATTTTGAACAATTTCTCTAAAGTTTTTGAAATACTTCTGCATACTTTCATTTCAGTTTCGCCAAATCATTTGTCCAACCCAACATGGTTTTATTGCTGGTCGCTCTACTGTAACTAATCTAATCTGTATAACTCATTGTATTTCTGAAGTTTTGGATAGAAGAAGTCAGGTTGATGTTATTTACACAGACTTCTCTAAAGTATTCGATAGAATTGATCACAAACTTCTAATAAGCACTTGGATTTTATGGCTCCTTATTAAATGTTTTACAGTCATATTGTGACAAGTCTCCTGATTCACCTACAGTGCTTCAGCGAGTCTGTGGCGCTATGAATGTAATTCCCGAATAGGGGTTGCTCAGGCGCCAGTTTTGATATCGCAGTTTGCTCTGCGGCCCTGGGGTGCACGTAGAGTACACCCTCAGTAGACTCAGTGGAGTCCAGGTACAAACAAAAAAAAATAAAACGGACAGACCTTCACTGTTAAGTTGACCTACACTGGGGTAGTAAAGTAAATAAAGTTTTTCACTGCACTTTTACCTATTAATCACTACGCCCTGAAAACGGAAAAAGCAAAGGTGTAATTCAAAATTAAACTCAGGAATTTCAATCAAAAATATATTTACAAAATAAAAGAAATAAATAATAATTAAAAATAAAATAAATGGAACGGCGGTAAAATCGATATGTATATAATTAATAACGGTTAACAATAAAACAAATGGACCTAGGGTGAAATCGGTATATATATCTGTTTAATAACGGTGATAAAATAAAGGTAGAATATATGTTTTGTTGATAAAATAAATGGCCTCGGTATTTACAGAAAAGTGCTATAACGGTAAAATTAACTATGACCTATACTATACCCATAAGAAAATAAAAATAATAATTTTCCCTTTAAAAAAATAAAACGGTGGACACTAACACCCTTAGCACAAATTCCTTCCTATTAATGAAAACGACCGGTTTTAGCCATAAAAAAAAATCTACAATAGTAAAACTAAATATGATTCGAACTATACGTTTCAAAAATAAAAAAATTAATAAGCTACCCTCAGTGATAAAATATCGGTAATCTGTTAGCGGTAGTGAACAGTATCACCCTCCACTCATGAGAGAAAAAAAATGACGGATGCCTTTGTAAGAACGGCGCCTAATATCCTCCCCGCAATATTATTTTGCTAGGCACAATAGACCAAATAACAGGTGTCTTAAAGCGGTATTATTCGACCAATACTTTGAGAATTTCTATTTTATTTATTCGGTTTCAAATTTCTCTAATGTAGACATCTGGTAATCCATAGCTTCTACAAAACAGAAACAGCTGCGATTCTCGACAGGGAGAGCAAGCGAATACCACTATCATCCCTTGATTAACACGAAAATGGTTGAAGGACACTAACGCCCCGGATTTAAATACAATTCGTTACCCTGACAGGTACTAAGAAATCAAAAATACTGGTCGAATAGCTCAGGTAATTAATAGTACGGAAGTGAATGATACAGGGAGAATTATTAGACGGGATTTTAAATAAAAGGCCTACCTTAATTAACTTCTTCCACAAAATTACGGCTTTCACGGTAAAAACGGCACTTCGTCACCAAAACAATTGTTAATAGCGAACCGACGGCGTAGCAGAAGGAAAGAGAGCTCCTTCATCGCAAACATTTAGTTTTATCAGAATTCGTACTTTTGCCGGAGTGGGGCGGTAGCCCCACCTAGAGGAAATAAATTGTTATTGCAAAAAAAACGTTAATTGATCAACTTACTAATAAACCTACTACTATTGCAATTTTACGAGACGATTTACATTATTGTGATATTAAAAAGTTTTAAACTACGAGGGCTCTTGTAAAGATTTAAAAACGGTAATTCTATGGAAACATTAGTTGAAAATGTTCATAGACGGAAATTAATTTTAGAAATTAATTTATGGAATAAATTAATGGGAATTTTAGTGACTTCGTCACAATATCTATCAGATCGTTACCTTTATATTCAGTGCTTAGGGCATAAATCAATGAATTTCACACAAACATCCGGCGTCCCGCAAGGTTCGGTTTTAGGGCCTTTATTATTTCTGTTTTTTATTAATGATATTTTTTGTAATTTGAGCGCCACAAATCTATTGTTTGCCGATGACCTAAAATTTTTTTATGAAATCTCTAGTTATAATGATTGTTTATTGCTTCAAGAGAATCTTAACCGCTTAAACGAATGGTGCAAAAGAAATAAGTTACCGTTAAATGTTAAAAAATGTAATGTAATGACATTTACTGGAAAGGAAGTACCAATACTATATAATTATAACTTACAAAATTCTACATTAAATCGACCAGAAGTAATTAAAGATCTTGGAGTTTTCTTTGATCCAAAATTAACGTTTACATCGCACATTGAAAAAACAACTGCTTCTGCTTATCGAATTTTAGGTTTTGTTATAAGGAATATGAGATTATTCAATGATTTTTCAACGATGAAAATACTTTTCTCTTCGCTGGATTTATCAAAATTAGAATATGCCAGTATCGTTTGGAGTCCAATATACTCCAATCACATTAACCATTTGGAAAAAATTCAACGAAGATTTTTTAAATCAGCTTGTCTTTTAAGTGATGGTAGGTACCTATCTCATAAGAGAACTTCCTTAAAGTTATTATTTAAACCTTTTCAATACATGCAGTCTTTTAAAAAGAAGAGCAATGCACTCAGTGATATTTCTGTTCAAGTTATTAAATAACAAGGTGGATTGTATTTCATGTTTGGAAATGTTAAACTTTCACGTCCCTAGAGTTAATTCCCGAAGAAATCAACTATTCTATCAACAAGCACATAAGAACTAACATATACAAAGCATCGCCTTTATTTCAAATTATCCTAAACTATTCGAACATTGAAGATGATATAGATATTCTTAATTGCTCTGTTACATCTATTAGAAGTATCTTCCTGTCAAATTAATTTGAGCAGTAATTATTAAAGGCGGAAATGGATGCATCCTTTTTTTCTTATGTAAGTTTTTTTTCAGGATGCACCCGTGTCTGTTTAAATTCGTGTTTATTTAGATTTCAGTTTATATATGTATATAGATAAAAATAATCATTTATGTTAATTCCCAATTCTTGTAATATTCCTTTCCTTATCCTGTAATTAGGGGCAACCCTGTTGAATATTGTAATAAAATAAATAAATAATTGAATAAATAAATTTTCAACATGTGTCAACAATTTAATATTTGGGCACTTAAACCACCGTATAGTAGAATCAAAACCTCACTACTAATTTTTTCCAAACCAAAGTTTGCTAATTGAGGTGCGCCCAGTTGGTAGGTTGCCCTGATTTAATAAGGTTTAAATGGAATAAAATATAAATATATCAGAAGCAGACAAAAGTCAATTCCACTTAATTTCTCTATGTTCGCACTATCTGCAGTAGCACTTTATAGCACGATTATTTAATTTTTCATGCTGACATTTAAAGATGAAGTGTTAATTATTTAATTATTTATTGTTTAGTTATGGACAGCCCTCGTCGCGGTCCAATGAGAGCAACCGGCGGAATAGGATTGGAATTGAGCGACTCATCTTTAATTTCACGTGCAGATTCTCCTTATACAGACATGGAAAGCAATTACGGCTGTGGTGATAGTATATCAAATGATGGTTGGGGCCCACCGCCCATTGAAAGGTGTATGAGCTGTATTAGCAAACTTGGTGCAATGTCTAGGTGAGTTACAAAATATGAATGGTTCTTACTAATACTTTACAAAATCTGGATGAGCACCTGTTCTTACCATGCTTCAAAGTTACATATAAATTTTCTATAGATTTCATGGTGTTTTAAAACGCTTCTAAAATAGTTGACTCTTTTCAACGAAATATGATTTAAAATTAAAATTTGCCTAAATGTCTTTAATTTTCATATATACCGTAATAAAATACAGAAAGTCCAGAAATATGCACAATGTCTGAGAAACCTCTTCTAAACATCTAAATTACATAAATTTCGTCTGCTTACCAGCAAAGCACACTAAGTCAAATTTGATGACGAAATAAAATTATCTGTTCAACCAGTTACTTAACATTGGACGTATTTGTCGCCAATAAAATGAATTTTGTTTCAACCCCTTAACCGCAACCCTACCAAACTTTTTTTTTTAACGCAAATATATGTCGCATAAGTAAAAGGAAAAAAAGGGTATGGTGAGATTCCATTTTGCACTAGCTTTTCAATGACCCTACAAACGACAAACCGTTGCATTTGAAAAAAAAAGTTGGGTAGGGATGCAGCTAAGAGGTTGAAGAAAAAAATCATTTTATTGGCAATAAATTCGTCCAATGTAAAATCAATTCACGTGTTTCAGCGTTTTTTTTTTAAGTTACTAGTTGAACAGATAATAATTTTATTCCAGACTTTCGCCCAACTCTATATATGTTTCTTCAAAATTTTCTTACTGATCGATAACTTGAATTAATGTTACTGTTTTTTTTTTTTTATTTCTCAAGGTCTTCAACTGCAACTGTAACTATAGGAACGCCCTGTTGGGAACATACTTGCGATCGTCATTCAATCAGCAGCAGCTCTGACAGTAGTGGATGGAGTCAAGCCGTTACCAAACCACCAGCGAGACCCCCAAAACCTGGAACAACATCACCGAACATGAAGAAACCAGCTGCCCCACCACCTCAGTCATCCTACGATAACTACGACATTCCCAAAATACCTTATCCAGTGGTAAGTTGCTTAATTTCTGCAAAAGTACTATCTCGCTTCTCAATCGCCCCATATACTCAGTCTTCCCACAAGTCCACAATTTACTGTCTTATCTTATTGGTTTACTTCCCTATATTCTCATCCTATCTTTTGCTTCTGTTTAATGAGTACCATTCTACCATTCTCACTCACACTCTTCAATGCTATCTGGATCCGTGTCCATTTTAATATTCGGCATTCTCTAGCGTTTATCGTTCTCAATTCATAAAATCAATTTGAAACGGTTTTAACATATTTTTGTCTCTTCTAGAGCCTCTTTGCTATTCCACATATGAATTGCCATTGGTTTTATGATTTTATGATCCTTGGACCATAGCTCATGGCTCCGGTTTTTAATTTTTCTGTTTGCTTTTTAGCCTGATTCCTTTTGTGTTTTTTCCGTCTTAATCCATTATTGTTCCTTTTTTTTGTGGAGAAATTCGTTTTACGCACCCCTGGTAAGCTACGCTGCCGGGTAGTGTTTAACTCGCCCCTACGTCATACCCACTAAAACTCATTCCTATGTACATGTTTCGTTTCACTTGGAAAAGCCTGGAGAAAGCATGTCAAGTGAGTGAGGCGATCTGTCTCTTCATGTGATATGTCTTATCTTCCCCGTAGTAGTTGTTCTTCATTTTCCTTACATTTCATGATATTCGACACTCCCTGATATTACTAATGTTTTTATTTATCCATTGTTGTTTTCCGTTTTTTTTTTGTCCATTCCATTTACCATTTGTGTAGCGTGATTGATCGTTCCTCGTTTCACATCTGCCTTGTTTTGGCGTTTTTCCTGTTAAATAATCTTATTCTGCTACCTTTAGATGTATTGGCACCGCACCAGCATTGACTGACTGTTCTGATGAGGATTTTTCGCTTGATTCGTACTTTAACGAGACTTATCATACCGGTGCTCCATATAGGAGGATATATTTCATTACTCCACTACAAATACTGAGTCCTGCAGGACCCCAGCGCTGGTTTTCATTTCTCGCCGTTTCGTTACTTTCCATTCTACCTTTTAAATAGTTAATATGTTCCCAGTTGGCCAAGTTGAAGGCGTTCTTTATGTCGACAGCAATTGCCGCGACCCACCTCTTTTTGCTATTTTTCCTATCTTTTATCTTTTCCTTCGTCCAGTTTGCAGCCTTGATCGTCGATTTTCGTTTTCGGTAGTCGAATTTGAAGTTGGATATCGCATGCTTTGTTTCTAGTTCTTCTTCCAGTCGTTTTTTAATTAGTTTTTCGTATAGTTTACCTGTATATCACATCAAGTGGTTTCCTTTTTTCGAGATTAATGTGAGTCTTACTTTAGCGGCGACAGGAACTCATGTCTGTAGAGTATTTTGTTGTAGGGCTGTAAAATGACCTCTGGTATCGTTGAGATGATATGTGGTATAATTGTATGGTCCTGGTGCCCTTCCCAGTTTGATCTCTACTCTATCTTCTTCGAGCTCCTTTATCTTGAATGGTTTAAAATATGTGGTAATGATTACTTCTTGTAGTCTGATGGCCCTCGTTGGGAAAAGGTTTGTCGCCACTTTCCATTTCTTGTCATCCTGTAGTAGGGCTTCCATTATTGAGGTTTTCATTATTGTTCATAGATACTGATTTTGTTTTCTTTTCAGGAACAGAAAATGGAAGAACTCTACGATACTCCACGCAAACTGAAGGAATGCATTCAAGGTTTTAGTTTCGAAACCGTTCAAAAACCTTGTGGTTGTATAGTGCGAATTCGTCAACCTGAGCCAGAACGACCATGCGTTTGTCAGCGTCTCTTGTCCTGCTGGTCGGGCACAGAAGATGTCCATGCCATTTATGCTACTGTTGATTATTCGAAGAAAACGCATCGCCAGCAACCGGTCGCGACAGCAGCAAATTATGCCAATTTAGCTCCAGCAACAATAACCACAACTACTGCTCCAACTTCTAGCAACTACGAAAACATGGAATTTGCTCAAACTCTTCAGTTATATGAAAATAGTAAGGAAATAGCAGATAAAGCGAAAACAATGTGCACAAAATGTGGCCACGCTCAAGAAGACTACCTCATGATGGAGCCATCCAATAAACCATCACAACCTCATCCAGGATATATTCCTATGTCTCCAGCTGTCAAGCAACGTTTAGGTAAAGTCTTGTCAAACAGCAACCCAAATCTTGGCCCAGCTTTAGACCGATCCAATAAACCATCCGGTTCTTCTATGTTACAAGGCACTATATATCAGCGAAAGCAAATTTTAGACAACGTTGACAACCTGGATATCCGAAGAAAAAGATCGAACTCTGCAGATTCCTCAACTGGCCGGTATGAACCTGAACCGGAGCCAGAAACATCACCATGCCATTGTAACCACACCGCTATAGCGGTAAGAAGATCTTCATCAGTTCCTTGTAAATCAAACAGAGATTCTTCAAGTTCCAACGATTCAGGAGTATTTGAACTGCCACGAAAACCACAAATATGTGCGAATCAGACATTGCCAAGACGATCGAAGTCATCGGATCCTCTTAGGGATTTGACATTTCAATTTACAAAAACGGAAAATAAGTCTGCCAGCGCTGAAGCCGAGGTACCGGTTTGTCCATCTGGTTCAACTAGCAGCGGAACTTCTGATATGTCTGATTACTTCGAAACGTTATCATTGTCTTCTCACAGCTCAAGTGATGCTCCACCTCCTAGTTGCACGTTGAGGCCGCGGTCAGGCAACGAATATTTAACAATGCAGAGACTTATCGCTCCAGTTCCAGAAGAGCGGCATTAAACTAGTCTACTTAGAAGCAATAAATTGAATAGTATCTAGTACAATATACATATTATTAATATTATTATGTCTGTAATCTTTTTCTGTATAAAGGTATTTACTTTATAAATAAATTATTCATCAATTATTTTTTTATTTCTACTAATTTAATTATCTTTAACAATACCTGTATCCCACGTGACTAAATTGATGTCATCAATTGGCTAAAAGTAACATTATTATCTTCAGTAGTGACCCTAATACATTGATGCCTTAAAATAATCTCACTGACCTATTTGACAAAACTAGCAGGAAAGTTGTTATAAAAATCACTAAGAACGGACATTTTAATTTCTCGTTTAACTGGATCACGTGTGATACGGGTACTGTTGAAGACTCGTAATATCTACACACTGAACTCATTAGGACCAGAAAGGGACCAGAGTACATTTTTAACACTTGGTTGGTAAAAAAACACAGACTTTTTCGTCTTCTAAAAGGTTAAAAATAGATAACAACTGTAACGCTCTACTGTATTTAAAAATAATCAAAAAATCAAGTTTTTTTTTTCGAAAAATTTTAGAAATAAATAAATAAACTAAAAATTGATATTCGGTTAGGACTAGGGCTGGGCGATTATCAAAATAATCGATTAATGAATTAACCGAAAATAATAGAATAATTGAAAATAATCGATTAATCGAAAATAATCGATTAATCCAAAATAATCAATTAATCGAAAATAATGAATTAATCGAATATGATCAATTAATCGAAAATCGATTATTCTAAAATAATCGATTAATCGAAAATAATCGATTAATCTAAAATAATCAATTAATCGAAAATAATCAATTAATCGAAAATCGATTAATCGAAAATAATCGATTAATCCAAAATGATCGATTAATCCAAAATGATCGATTAATCGAAAATAATCAATTAATTGAAAATCGATTATTCTAAAATAATCGATTAATCGAAATAATCGTATAATCGTAATCGTATAATAATAAAAATATAATAATCGACTAATTGATCATTAATCGATTAATCGATTATTTTGCCTACCTCTAAATACACTGCGCGTCAGAGAAAACGGGCCACCCAAAAAATTTACGAAATAATTCATCTTTTTCAAATATATCTTATTTTTATAACAATAAATACACACAGAATTTACCGCCCACCCAATGTTTTGTTATTTAGTTGGAGATATTTGTAATTTTGATTTTTTTTTTTACTTTTTAATGTCTAAGTACATCTTGAAAAGCAAACACCAATCAAATGTAAGTTTTTGTTTAATTTTAGAAAATAAAAGAAAAAGTTTTTGAAAATTTTGAACTGTTTGAATAAGATGAGCAGTACATGAAATCTATCGACAAAAAAGTATTGTTATTAACAAAATTCACTTTAGTAACGAGTGCCTGATTCTCAATTATTAAAGATGGATGAGAGCCGAATCCTTTTGTGAAACATACACGATTTAGTAACTGCATACCAAATTTCAACACGATCAAAGCAACTTTTTTCAACTTCTGACAGGTGGATAAATAGAGACCAAATGAGAGCACCTGCGAAATCAAAAACTCACTGGATCAACAATCTGGCGAAGGACGTTATGTTAATTTTATCTGAGTTAAGTGAAATTGGATTTGGCTGCTAAACAAGCCGGAATATCAGACTCCAATAATATACCAAGACCTCGGCAACATTTATAAAAAGGAAATGTTCGAACAATGGATATTGTTCTAAGTCCAAAAACTCCTATTTTTTGCTGCATAAAGAACTTCCAAAGAAAGTACCACATATTTTTTAATACAAAGTAAACAATAGCAGTTTATGTTACAAGGAAAAAAAGTTGAATTTATTTGGACGGCTACAAGAAGCTTGCCCGGCAAGACGTAGTCACGCCTGGTAACTCATAGGAGTCAGAAAAAAACACTTTTAGTCCATGATTCATGCATTGTTTTTTATTCAAATGTGTTTGGTTATTAAAAAAATATTTAAAAAATTAAATCAAATGATATTATTTCCAATAATTTTTCCTTAACTCAGTTAGCTGTTAGAACAATTTTCGTCTTTTAAATTAATTTTTTTACCTAGTATACTAAAAATTGGTGTCAAAAAAAATTGCAAATATGAGTGGTGACCACGATGAATAACATTTCACAGGTGTTTCAACTCTTTTTAAAATATGGCACCAAACTGTGCATAGTATTAAAAAATTCACCAGAGATCGGTAGAAGGTAAAGGTAAAGGTAAAGGTAAAGGTAAAGGTAAAGGTAAAGGTAAAGGTAAAGGTAAAGGTAAAGGTAAAGGTAAAGGTAAAGGTAAAGGTAAAGGTAAAGGTAAAGGTAAAGGTAAAGGTAAAGGTAAAGGTAAAGGTAAAGGTAAAGGTAAAGGTAAAGGTAAAGGTAAAGGTAAAGGTAAAGGTAAAGGTAAAGGTAAAGGTAAAGGTAAAGGTAAAGGTAAAGGTAAAGGTAAAGGTAAAGGTAAAGGTAAAGGTAAAGGTAAAGGTAAAGGTAAAGGTAAAGGTAAAGGTAAAGGTAAAGGTACCTCAAATGAAAACAAATAATGACGGCGAACTGACTGATAAATTCAATTAATTGTAGCTTTATCAAGTAAAAAATACGTCTGTATCCAATTTTTTCAAAAATAATGGTAAACATATTTATTTATTTTAATTTTTTATTTATTTTATCATGCATCCAATGGCCAAGGCCCATTACAGAATGCGCAATATACATTAATAAACATTATGGGTATGTAATACAACAAATAGTAAAAAAAAAAAACATAAAATTAAACTATAAATAACGAGATTGTGTAATCTGAAAAAAACTTCAGTGGAGAAAAAATATTAATCATACATAACGCATTAGAAACAAAGCTAAAATATGTGAAAAAAGAAAATATGCATATATAAATTATTTTATAAGGAATATAAAGGCACATTTATTGCATGAGATTTATATCTGACAGTTGTTTAGTGCAGTGTAAACCACTGATCTGTCAGATCAGTGGTGTAAACATACAAAAATTTCTCTCGTACATATATTTTTGAGTGTTTACACTGGACTAAACAACTGTCAGGCATAAATATCATCACGTACCTTAAGGGATCAAGAATACAGATTTTTAATATTTGAAATGCTAGTACAAAATAAATCAATATCTCCACTTAAGTCATTAACCGTGGACGGCATACGATGCAATGGAGACTGACAAATTTGTTCTGGAAGTGAGACGAATGAATGTGCAGCTATGCCTAGAATTGATTCCAGGAACAAAAAAATTAAGCTAAGCACAAAGAGCAGGACATTTAATTAAATGGTGTACTATTTTGTAAAGGAAAATTATAGAACATTAACTCTACGTTGAAATAAGCTCTGCATTTCAAACATTGCTAAAGGTTGGTCTTGTGGATATTCCCTCTCGGGGTAGGTTCCATAAAAATAATAATGAAGACTCTTAATGAAACTTCGCTGAACCTTTTCTAAAATTAAGACGTGCGCATTAGGGGACCATATTACTGAGGCATATTCAAGCTTGGGTATTGAATAAAATTTTGCAAGTATCTGGATTATTAAAATCTCTGATAGACCGTAAGATGGAACCTAGAGCTTTATAACATGACGCGACAGTTACGGCAAGATGATTAACGAATGATAATTTTGAATCGAATACAACGCCAAGGTCTTTAATCGTGTCATATCTCTGCAGGACGACTTCTCCTATATTGTAGGGGGGACAATTGTAACATGGTACAATTGTAACAGGGCCCACAACAAAACAAAAATACATTTTAAATATCGCGCCACTATTTGATGACCTTCGATGGCGTCAGAGGTTCGTGTCGCTGTAGTCAGTGTTGCCAACCTAGCGGTTTTCTCGCTAGATCTAGCGGTTTTGTTTTCAATTTAGTGGGTAAAAACTTTATTTAGCGGCTTAGCGGTTTTTTGACGGTTTTCATTTTTGAAAAAATTTAAACAAAATTGATAGAAAAATAAATCTTGTGCACACACAATATACAATATTGTGACTTGTTCTTGAGTTCTTGTCTTTTTTAGTAGATCACTGCCACAAGTGAACATTTTAATGATTTTATCAATCATTTGTTGCCCTTTCGAGCGTGATTTTTGTCATCTCTATAGGAGAGTTATTAACTTTGGTAATATCCCTTTACACTGTCGCTGTATTAAGTATAATTTCACTTTTAGCGGGGAGTTCAGTGCTTTTAGCGGATTCTAGCGGTTTTTATATACCAATCCAGCAGGAATGAGAAGCGGGGTGTTGGCAACACTGGCTGTAGTTTCAGCGAGCCAGTACTGGTAGAATCGTCTTAACGTGCAGTTAGTGTATTTTTTAAGCCGTAAGTAATTTTTTCGCACTTTAAATATTTTATTATAAACCATAGTAAATATGTATAAAATACGTTGAAATTTCGTCAACGTTTTATTTAAACATGGCTCTAATAGTTGTGAAAATTAGAAATAATGATAGATGTTGAAGGTTTATCTAGATTAATTTTAAACAATAAAATGGTAGCTGGAGACATTTGTAACACTCAATTGGGGGACGGTTGTAACATGTTACAATTGTCTCCCAGCTAGCACAAAAACATCCCATCTACGTTAATAAGCTGCAATTTTAGGCTCTTTAAGCTCGCATGCAATGTACTGTTAATGTAACCCTATCATCCCTGCAACCACCGAATGTCCGCAACGGCAAGACTTTTATAGCACATCTCACAGAGGTTACAAAATTAAAGTTCGGAAAACATCACACTAGCACTTTTACGGTACTTACCCCGAAAGTTGCTCTGAAACTTTCTATAGATGTTATAATGTGAATTCATTCTACAGCATTATACAGTGTGTCCACGGATGGACTTAACAATACTTGTAAAAATATTTATTTTAAATTTAAAAGTACTTCTTCATAATTTCTTTTGCTTGTTAAATAAATACGATTAACGTTGAGAAATTATGAAAAAGACCTCTTGAAAAATTTAAAATAAATATCTTTACAAGTATAGTTATGTCCATCCTTGGATACACTATATTCAAAATAGTATATTGAGGATATAGTAAAATCTGAAGAAAACAAAATAAAAAATTGTATAAATTTATTATTAAAAAG